CCCGGCCAATATTTGTAATTTATATTTACATGTTTTTTACAATGTAGTTTCCTTTCTGATAGTACCTATATGCTTTAGTATTTTTATTCAGTGTTTTTTCAATTGGCTATGCATGATTTACATTTGGCCACATTGGCTGCCTCTGCTCTAACCTCCGAAATGCTAAAGCCGCCACTTGTCCTAAAGCTTAGATAATCCACAACACATACCACTCTGTTACCTAAAAACGACATGCTGTTTAATGATGATCAAGTTGAAAAAGAAAATGTACTATAACAGAGATTCCAGCAATTTTATAGTAATAGATAAATCAGCCTTTCCATATTTAAATGTTCCAGTGGTCAGATTTTTTAAATTGAAATTTTTATTAAGATATTTGAAGATCTACCTGTAGTTATAAAAAAACAATACAGAGAAATACCTTACATAGTTTTCCCAATTTCCCCCAATGGTTAACACTCTGTAAAACTATAGTATAATATAACTATTGATACAATCCACTGATTTTATTTACATTTTCCCAAATTTACTTGTACTCATTTGTATGTATGAGTGTGTATGTTTGTATGTTTGTATGTGTGTATTAAGTCCTATACAATTTTATCACCTGTGTAGTAGGTTCATGTATCTACCACCACAGTAAAGATAGCTGAAGAGTTCCAATACCACAAGAATCCCTTATATTGAACGGTCAGATTTAAATAACTACCCCAAAAGTTTCCTTGCATGGTTTCTAAAAGAAGGGAAAATTCATGTACTTACCCATCTGGCTAGGGCTTCTTTGATTGTTGTTGCTTTTGCCTTTAAAAAAATAAAAGAAAAGAAAAAACAAGGCTGTCTTTATTGGCATGATTTGTTTCAATTTTCATGCAATAATTAATAGCCTTGGCTTCTACCATTAAAAGGATTGATTTGAGACTTTATATGCAAAGAGGGTATTTTAATTTCCTGAAATGAGAATGATTTATTTAAATCATTTTACAGAATCAATTTATAGAAAATAAGGAAATCAAAGTAAATCATTATATAATGCTTCACTCCCACTTGGTTTACAAAAAATATATAGCTTTCAACACCTGATATTAAAATATATCTTATTGGCTGGGCGAGGTAGCTCATGCCTGAAATCCTAGCACTCTGGAAGGCCAAGGGAGGAGGATTACTTGAGCTCAGGAGTTCAAGACCAGCCTGAGCAAGAGTGAGACCCCACTTCTACTAAAAAAAATTAGCCAAGCAACTAAAAATAGAAAAAATTTGCCAGGCGTGGTGGTGTGTGCCTATAGTCACAGCTACTTAGGAGGCTGAGGCAGGAGGATC